GGGCCAAGTGAATGGATTTATGACCAGCCATCCAGACCAGTCAATAATGACTTTAATCAGGAATATGAAGATATGTCACTAATTAGAACTTTTGGTGACACTGGAAGGAAAGTGGTATGAAAAACAAGGTGCGTGCAGTTGTAACTGTAAGATATGAGCATGTGTGGTGTGTGTTACTTCTGTCAAGGTAGAAAAGAAACATATACACAAATCACACACATCCATTAACCTGGAATTAATTTTGTTCAGGTTTTTTTCATCTGTTCATGTATTTATCTCAAACTAAAGAAGATACCACTCCATGCAACTACAAATGAAATGATCTCTAGTGTATATAACTATCATCAAAATACGTAAATCTAAGAGTATTCAAACCTCTTTCCAATGCCAACAAATCTGACCATACATATCGGGGTTTTTTTTACTTCAAATACAAGGACACAGTTGAAATTTTGGGTTTTTTTTTCCCAGGTTAAGCCAGCTTTTTTTTTTTTTTTTGCTTTAGAAATGCAATTCTGTAATATGGTATCTGTCCACTAATGACAGATTTGAAGAAGAGTTTGTCAGAGATGAATTCCTCACAGGCTCCCAATGCACTGTCTGGTCTTACTTCTAACTCCATATACATCCCACACTTCTACAAATCTTCTGTGACTTCTTCCACCCTCAGCTATTTAGCCAGCTGTGCCACTCCTGTAATGCATATTGGGTACATGCATCTCCCAGTCAAATGAAAACACGTGTTTTAAAAAGTTTTAACATGTTTTCTGAAGAAACATTAATTACTGAAATAATCTTGTCATGTAGATAAGCTGCACAGATGTAAGTTTACTGCTGTAGGGCTTATCCTTACTGCTTATGTGCCATATCTAAGACTGTAAAATAAACTATTTGGATTTTAAAAAACTGTCTTTTAAACTTGCTTTAAAAGCTAAAGCTGCATAGAGAGCTTATAATAATTTGCATAGTGATGAAGAACATGAGGAAGTGCTGTCTCGGAATAGTTATGTATGTGTGACTTGAAGGAAATTAATACTTTGACAAGGTATTTAAATTGTTAAAATTTATTTTTATTTTCTTTTTCCCAGTCTAACATTGCAAGTTGAATATTGTTTCAAATTAGCCGTGTAAATGTATTACATGAAAGGAAATGGTTCATAGAATAAAATGACAGAGGTTACAGCCTTATACATTAATTGCGCAATAGTTATAAAAAGTGAGCAAACTGTTTTCTCAGAAGGCGACAGCTGGCCTTATAGCTGATACGCAAGGCTCAACATTAAGAAGTGGATACAAACTGCTAGCTGGATTCAGCCTCAACTTCATCACTGGCCTCATCTTCTAAAATATTTCCTTATTCTATCAGTAAAGATAACATAAAATAATCTTCATTTAAGAAACTGATCTGAGCATTTGACTCCTTTTGCTGAGAGTGCTGGCTAATACACTTAGCAAAAGTGAAATTGGACTTTCAGACGGATGGACAGAACATGTTGGAGCACTTGGAGAGCGGGAGAACAATCATTAGGAGGTATTTTTGGTTTGGTGGTGGTTGTTTTTGTTTGTTTTGGTTTGGTTTTTTTTTAAGTTAAAATTATACATTGGGTAAAATATTAAGGGGTTAAATACAGGAATATTTTATACACTTTAATATGCAGCTTTAAAGGAGAGAGAAATAGCCATTCCATCCTTTAAAATGCAAGGTATGATGTCCATCTGAGCCAAAGATGAGGTTTTCTTCAAACTGAAGGCAGCAGTCACTGAACCAAAGTCGCCTTTAGGCACAAGAAGCACAAAGAGGTCAATTAATTCAGTGAAACCCTCCAGCTCTGGCATTTTGGCAAAAATGACAAGAACTGGTACCTAATCCAGCAGTCATCACTAGAAGGTGCATTTAAAAAGCATCTCATTCAGATAACTCATAAATTTGAATGGGGCTCTTTGCACTTTATGACACTGCCTACACTTCAGAGCAATGGCCCTTCCAATGAAGGTCAACCTGATTTCTGCACTTTTTCAGATGCTTCTCAGAAACAGCGGAGCTATTTTCTACAGAGTGTTTCCAAAGAAGTTGGGCATAAACACCCAGTCTGAAAGGTTAAATATGCAGTCTCGGGGGCTGAAAACAAGTAATAAGTAATATCATCTAACACCAACAGCACAAGGTTAGTTATTTGTTATGTTGCTGCCAGCAAGGTCACGGGTTTTTATGGCAGCTTAGCACAGAATGAAGCATCAGGACCGAATTCAGAATGAGTTTAGAACACAAACAATTCTTAATATTAGACGTGAAATATCACTTTTTTTCTATTTATGCTTTAAAAAAAAAGCACACATAGTGTTAAGAACGTTAATATTTGTATGAAAAGCTGATTTCACAGTTACCCAAACAACAACAGAGCCATTGGTTAGAGGGGAGGGCATGTATTCTAACCCCCCTACTCAAGACAGAGCTGGTTGCACAGGACCATCTCCAGATGGCTTTTGAATATCTACAAGGAGGACGACCCCACAACATCTCTGGGCAACCTGTCCCAGTGCTCGGTTAGTCTTACCGTAGTGTCTCCTGATGTTCGGATAGATCCTCCTCCTGTGTTTCAGGTTGTGCCCGTTGCTTCTTGTCCTGTCACTGGGCAAAACCAAAAAGAATTTGGTTCCACCTTCTTAATTCCTTCCCATCAGGTACTTAAGCAAATCGATACGATCCCTCGGAGCCTTCTCTTCTCCAGCTACACAGATCCAGCTCTCAGGCTCTCATACATCAGATGCTCCAGTCCTTAATCATCTTCATGGGCCTGCAGCAGACTTACTCCAGTAAGACCATAGCTTTCTCATGCTGGAGCACCCTGAACTGGACACAGCACTCCAGACGTGGTCTAGCCCCCGCCGAACAGGAAGGATCACCACCTTCGCAGTGCTGGCAATGCTCTGCCCAAGAGAGGCCAAGGTGCTGGTCCGTGTTGGTCTGACCAAGGTTTGCCACGAAGGCAAAGGTCTGTTTGCCACCCCCAGCTCCCGCAGGCCTTTCTGCGCAAAGCAGACGCAGAACGTCACACGTCCCTTTGTTGAACCCTACGAGACTCGTCAGCCCAATTCTCCAGCCCGCGCAGGTCCCTCTGGACCACGTGTATATTTTCAGTTCCCAGTGACCCGAAACAAGTCCCTCAAGTTCATGAACTAGTAAATGAAGGATGGAGTCTTAGCCCTCCAGGAACTGGAGACAGAACACCTGCTAATTATAGTAGGACTGAAGTTTACCTGCTAACCTACTGAATACATGCTCTGACAGGAAACACTCAGACGAGCTAAAGGAAAATAGTAACTGAATCAGTCACTTCCAACTCCTTCATCTGGTATTAAGGATTATTAAATAAATACTGTTAAACTACTAGGTGAGCAATCACAGATTTTAAGATGTATTGTGTACAAATACGTTTAGAGTATGGAAAACTGGTCTGAAAACACTTCATGGAACTTTTGGAAACCAGAAAACAGCTATAGGAGATTAAAAAAAAAACCCAAACCTCTCATCTCCACAGATTTTCTGTTGTCTTTGTGGAATTGTATAATTTAATATACAGAATCGTTTCAGTTGGAAAAGACTTTTAAGTTCATCAGGTCCAACCATTAACCCGGCACTGCAAAATCCACCACTAAACCATGTCCCTAAGCGCTCATCCACATATCTTAAATACCTCCGTGGACAGCGACACCACCGACTTCCAACACATGGGGCAGCCCATTCCAGTGCCTGACGAACCTTTCACTGAAGAGGTTTTTTCTAACATCCAATCCAAACCTCCCCTGGCACAACCTGAGGCCGTTATCTCTTGTCCTATCACTTCTCACTTGGGAGAAGAGACCAACCCCCACCTCTCTGCAACCTCCCTTCAGGTGGTTGCAGAGTGAAAAGGTCTCCCCTGAGCCTCCTCTTCTCCAGGCTGAACACCCCCAGCCGCTCCTCACAGGACAGGTTGTCTAGATCCTAGTGCTTTATATGTTTAATGTAGTCTCCCTCTATTTTTCTTTTAAAGTATTAAGAAATCACTTAAAACACTTAAACACTATTTACTTTTAAACAAACAGTTGTGGATTTTAGAATTTAGGCACGAAGAATAAAGAACCTGAATTTACACTTAAGATAGTCAGTGCAAGACAAATGTTGAAAGAACGAGATGGTTCATCCCCTGCTGACTTCAACTTCTCTCCAAGAGACTGCTTTTTTTGTTTGTTTGGTGTGGGGTTTTGTTTGTTTTTTCCAGACAATCAGGTTGTTATAATATTCTAATAAATTTATAAATGATCTTTCGACAAAATTTTCAAGAAAATATATTTATTCAATTTTAGCAGGGGAAGAAACATAAATATAACACTTTTACACCATTATTTACAAGATATTTCTATGTTCAAACACCACACTTCTGTTACAAATTTCAAAGAGTATCTTAAATTTTAAAAGACCATATTCACTGAAAAGGAACTTTCAATGTTTAAAAAATACACATATCAAAGAGTACAAACAGTTTATTTCTTGTGGCTAGTGCTAAGTGTTCAAGTCCTTTAGAACATGGCAAGATATGTATTAGATCAGCAACACTGCAAGCATCCAATTAGTACACACAACTCAGAGTGAACAATACAGCCTAATTTTTCATGGTACAACCTCAGTTTGTCTCTCAAATAACACTGAAAAGGACTTTTCCAAATTTCTGGAATTATGATACCACCAGCATTTTACAAATCCCACACTCAAGTCTTCATCTGAAGCAAAATGGAAGCTTGAACCTCCTAAAAACAAGACAACTACCAGGCAAGTACAATTCCCATTCTGACAGGTCATCAGAGAGCAACTGATACTTTCTCAGCAGAAGCAGGTGCAATTCCATGGGGATTTTTACTTCCATAAAGTGGAATTGGGACAGCAATTCCCTGAGATTCTGACTGATGTCCATAGCTGCGTTTCGGCAGCCATTAGATTTTCTTAATTTCCTATGTACCATCTATTCAAACCAGTTCTCTTTCAGTAGAAAGTGTACAGCATCATCAAATCCATTTTGGTACAACGATTCCATTTTCTCCTGGTTTGGTGGGAACAAAGCTTGATTAAGCCTTATTAGGTTGGCCAGAGAAAGCTGCAACAGAGCGAGAAGCTATATATTAGTTTATTACAGCAACTTAATCTAGACTTGACAGCGTTGCTATGTTTTGTCTTCAATTTCACGGAGCATACGTAAAAGCAGAAGACCAGCAGGGTTACGCCTACACAAGCAGGTTATCCGTGCCCAGGTGCCCTGCTGAGCGTCAGGACAAGCTGGCACAAACGGTCTGCCTATACGCGACCCAACTCAAAGGCTCCCAGACAGCCTGTCTGTCTGTACAACTGCCCAAAGCTCCTAAACCGTTTTGACTTCAGAAACATTCCCAGAAGGGTCTGGCAGAGTGGCAGCTGGCACATGACAAACTTGTGCAAGGAAATATTTTGACAGCTTACTAGTGCAAACAACCGCGTTCCTGGAAACATTCCCAGGCAGTGTTTAACTTGAGCACAAATGTAGCTTGTATTACCAACCAATTGAGAACCACTCAGCATCTCAAGTGGTCACTTGATGGTGTAAAAAAATTTCAGAACTCTATTCCTGAATAAAGACATTATTAAAGTGTTTAGAACAAAACTAAAAGTATAATTAGATTATTAAATAATTATTTAAATAAGTGAACACTTCCTTTACATGATTAATTTAATACTTTAGCCACATACTTTATTATACACAATTTTGAAAAACAGTACCATCCTCATTATTTGAGGTAAGCAATTATTCAAATTGGCAGTAATAGATGGAGGAGGTTCAAAGACAGAAAACAGTTCACATCCCCACAGAGATAAATGAAGATATACAACTCTTCCCTTATGCAGATTAATATATCGCTGGAAAAAAAAATTCTTAGTTCACATTTTCACAGCTCTAAAAGCTGAGCGTGCTTCAAATGGCATAGTTTGAAATGCTGCATGTGATTCTGCATAAGTCAGCACTTGCAGGACCCTAGAAGACATGTAACTGCAGTTTATTTTCTATCTAATCACCAGCTCATTTTTCCTCCTCTGGATGCACTATATATTGGGTACAAATCTAAGAAACACACAGTAAGCGATTGCATGTATTTTCAGTATATATGAAATCAATGATCTCATGCTTTACAATAAATGACCAAGTACTATCATGCTTAAAATCTCTGTGAAACATTATAAAGACTCAGAAATTGATCCAATTTGGGATTGCATTACTCCAATTAAGAAAGCATATTAAGAACTATCTAAAATAAACTTTAAGAAGTACCAATTATTGTTAATCTTTATTTTTTCTTTCGAATAGAGTTTTGTTGACAGCTAGGTCTGTTGCCATGCAATATTTCCTTTCATCCTGTCGAAGGAAGCAATGCCCTGGTCAAAGTTTGTGAAATAAAGCTTGCAAACTCAAAAGTGTCAGCGAGGAAAAGGAGGCCATTAAAAAAAAAAAAAAAAAAATCTGGCCTATATTTCAATATACAGAAATGTTTCTGTAACATCTCACAAATTAACTTCTGGAAAAACGTGGCGGTTACAAATATTCAAAACCTTAAATGCGAGCTGTCTTGAGCAGCGAGGTCACAAGTCCCTGTATACCATTTCAAACATAAGACAAACTTGTAGTTTACGTTGAGTTAGAGCAGCTAATTTCAGTAAGTATGAAGTGATGTTCTGGAGTTTCCCTCTCCTGAGATATTCTACACAAGTCTTCCCTTCCCTCCCCGCCCCAGATCAATGCTTTTCAACTTTCAGACAAAATTTATTCTACATTTTACTTCCCCTGCATTTAAGAAAACGTTTACACACTATTTGCAAAACAGAAGATGTCAAAACATTACTTAAACTGATTTATGCACAAAAAATAAACACCCAAAAATAAGCATAACCTTAACTGCCCAACTACTTTTTCTTCTTCTGAAATTACTAAATAAACAAGCAACTCACCATTATATCTTGTTTTGCAAATTTAACATAAAGATCCACACGTCCTTTATCTCGTGGGCAGATATCCAATCGACCGCTGAAAGGAGAAATCGTCACAGTCCTTCCCACAGGCAAGATAGGAAGGCCATTGGTAAGGCCACCATCCACCCACTTCTGTTGGAAAATGGAAACATCCTTAGTACAGTATGTTCATAACCGAATCATAGAATCACAGAACGATTTGGGTTGGAAGTGAACTTAAAGACCATCTAGTTCCAACCCCCCTGCCATGGGCAGGGACACCCTCCACTAGACCAGGTTGCTCAAAGCCTCATCCAGCCCGGCCTTAAACCCTTCCAGGGGTGGGGCATCCACAGCTTCTCTGGGCAACCTGTTCCAGTGCCTCACCACCCTCTCCGGGAAGAACTTCTTCCTGATATCCAATCTAAACCTCCCCGCTTTCAATCTAAACCACTTCACCCTTCCTGCCCCGCCTCATCCAACCCACCCTCAAGAAGGCTTACAGGTTTCCTTCTCAGAATACCACAAATACTTGAGTATGAGTCATGAAAACATGGAACTGAAAACGTACACAAAGAGCCTTTTAATCAATGAGTGTTTGACATAATGTGTGTGTGTAAGATTAGATCAACTAACAAGCTGTATTGGCAGCTTGATAAATATAAGAAAATTCCCCATACATTATTTTTCTGATATAAATATTCACATTCATTAGTCTCCACGGACCTTCTCACCCTATTATTTCATAACATGCTTTAGAGCTTGACTCCTGACATTAGCTCTTGCTGTCAGCACCCCAATCCATCACTGAATGCTTTCAATTTCCGCAAAAAATTTATTTCTCGGTGCTTAGGACTGAAATTGTTTGCCATAGAAAAGAAGGCAAAAGAAATTTACCAAAACCATTTAAAGCTGTCTTTCAGACTTCTCAAACTCCATTACTCCATTGTTGTGAAGGCACACTGCAGCTCCACTCACAGTTATCACATTTCTAACACCAAGGGCTTTTTTTGGTGTCTATCTGTAGTTACTTATTATTAATTTACATGCAATGTTCCTTGGAGTACTAAATGGCTTTTTGTTGCAGTTCCTACAGTGACGCTAACAGTGGAGTCCCTGTCTAAGCCAAGTGAAAGACAGTGTAACAAACATTATTAACATCTTTCACAGGTCTAGCTTAGTGCTTTTACTTAGTTCTCCCATTTTTAAAACATCTAATTATTTAGATTTTTTTCCCCTCTCTCATGTAACTGCAGTATTTATTCAAAAATCAAAACATTTACCAAGGCAAGGACAGCACTTTTTATTAGGCACTATCTCCTCTAGATTCTGTTATTCCTGACTGACATGACCTCTGTCATTTTATTTTCTTTCAAACATTTGGGAGAAACTGCTTCACAGTAAATATATTTGAGCTCCATGGTCCCTCATGTTACACAGTGAAAGTAAGACATTTATATGCTGCAAGTAAAGATATATATAATGCCCCAGATTCTTCTAATTCCACTAACGAATTCTTGAAAAATGCTTCTTAGCTGATGAGGCAAATTCCTTGTAACTTCTGATTTAGTTTCTTTTTTGCAAGTACAGTGCAAAGACAGAGAAAGTTCTGATGTAATATGCAATTAAAACCGAACAGGACAATGAAATTAAGGACGTTGGCTGGACTTAACAGAATCTACTCATTTACAAACAGATGGTTTTTACAAAGCTGTTCTGCAAGAACTATAGTGACACAAACTACAGTCTCACTATCAGATACAGTCAACACAATCATCTGTGCATCTTTTATCTGCCTTAAAGGTTAACCTTGCCAGAGACTGACAGGACACCGAACCAGCTCAAAGAAGGATAATTTCACCTGGAGCAAGTTTGCCCTGATGTTACTGGAAGACTAGTACCAGGGCACCTTAAAAGACCAACCCAGGTAAAAAGCCGGTTGAGGCCACTAACAGACTACAAGTTCTCAGATGTTATTTTACTCTCCCTTTTCCTTCAGATTATTTTTAGGCTCATCCAACCAGAGAAAAACATACTATGAACAGACTGACTTTAAGCTAAATTGCTTGGTACTGTAGGCATATTCACCTCACAAGTCTAGCCTTCAAGCACGCATACTACAGGTATGCTAGATAATTCCAGCGTGAGCCAAATGCTTCCCAAAAAGCATTCTTCCTAAACAGAAAACTGAAATGCGATGCTGGGAACAGTTTACTCTGGGTTCACTCTCAATAAGCAGCACGGACAGGCTAGCAATAGGACTGGCTATTTTCTGATACTATTCCAGCTGGAGCGCACCATACTCCCTTACGTATCATGCAACAAATATCTCAGAAAACACATTGAAATATATTCCAAAACCACTCCCAGATGACCTGATGATTGTATGCAGGTGACGTAAGTAGCTCAGAGAGGATATTCAGACCAACTGTTCAGCAGAACAGATAAGGCCAATAGACTCAGCAGCTATAGCAGGGAGTAAACTCAATCCCATGCTGCCACGGACCATACATGCGGCCTAAGGAACGTACTCCCAGAAATCAGCGTAAATGCAAACAGACAGAACTTTGGTCTGTCACAGTAAAGCTTCCAGGGAACTTGGAATAGGACACTAACACGATAGGTGGCTCTGCAGAGCCAAATCAGTATCCAACCCATTTTACTGAATTCAGTGCTTACAATGTCTGTATTATAAGGTTACGTGCCACGTATCTGGCTCTATGCTGCAAGCTTTGGGGCCTCTAGTACCCACCCACACATCCTCACTACCCACTATTCCAAGCCATGGAAATACCATTGCAGTAGAAATCCTGCAATTTTTGCTCTCACCCCGCTCTGAGTGTTTTGGACTAAAGAATGGAACTCCCATTCATTTACTGGCAACAGTCCTCTCAAAAAATAATTAAAAAATCCCCAAGCCACAGCTGCAAGTCAGTGCAGACGTGCACAACTACTCATTCCAACAAACAGCTACAAATGAAAGCAGCCGCCTTCTCAGAAACCACCTTTTCTGAATCTCACTTAAGGAAAAGAGTAAGAAGCTTTGGGAATGATAAGCTTTCAAGTAACTGAAGAACCAGTTCCCATGAAACATTTACTGATATCACTTCTGAATGCAAAAAATGAAGTTGGGCAGGAATGAGAACTGTCCCCTAAGAAGAGGCTACAAGTGTTTCAGTAAATACTACAATACCCAGGCAAATCCTAATAGCAGTGTTCATCCTGTAAAGAGATTTTAAATCAGTTTTGGAGAAAACTCTGAGCCAACTCTTCAATTTCTGAATTGAAAGGGCAAACCAAGAAATTTAACAAAGACACTCCCTTCCTTTTGGATGAATCTAAACCAACCATGTATGCCCCTTGAACTGCACAAGCAACATAAAAAGACTCATTCAACAGAATTTCCAGACTTTTGGAAGCTGCAAAGAGTCCCCAATTTAACACAAGCAGTCAGGAAATACTGGTTTTAAACCTTCAAACACTTTAGCTGGTATGTATTGCTGTATGTAGCTGCATATATAATTCCAAAGCTGACAAGCTGTCTGACATAATGAACTTCAACTCCCTTTTGTTAGAGACAAATGCACGTGGCTTGGTAGGCTTTTTTTGGCAGGGTGGCTGCAAGGGTTATAGATGTTCTAAAGGCTTAACTTGGACGCATATGGGAAATAAAGGAGAGAGTATCACGTAGTGTTTCTCAGGAAGAAAAAAATGGCTATTTTCATGCTTCTGGTAATTGCAGACTGACTAAACAGTCAAAATTATTCTTAAAATGTTAATATATTTATGTAAGAAAGACAAAAAAGTTCTTGAAGCTAAATGAAGAACAAGCAATTGTGAAAAAGTCTTCTTACAGTAGTGTACAACTCTGAAAACTTTGTAGCCTTCTGCTATGGGGAAAAAAGAAAAGTTTATTCTTTAATGTTTATCAGAAGGTAAGAGATTTGAAGGTGCCTGGTAAGCATGTTCTTATGTTCTGCAAAGATGTGCAACAAACACGTACTCCAGGAGTGTCCAAGGTGCCAAGACCTGACTTATTATTCCTTCCATTGAACAGGAAACCAGAATGGTCATCCTATGAACTGCAAAAGTAATTTCAGAATTGGTAACACAGCTTGTCACAAGAAGCATCTTTACTATGTGAAGCTTTTTCTCATGGTAAGCATTAGACATTATAATTAGGGAACAGCTTCTTGCTGCCGAGATCATTTCGGTCCCAGCACCCACAATTTTTGAAGCAACACATGAAAAAACTCACATCATCTTTTATAGCATTAATCTACAGCAACAAAAGGAACAATAACTATTCAACGAAACACAGTACTGAAATTCCCACCTACCCTTCCCCTACAATCAAATAATTACATCATAAATAAAGAATTCTCTAAAAAAGGAAAAAAAAGTTGGCAGATAAACTTAATGAAAAATTACCTCTCCTTTATATTCCACTGGCTTAATTCCTGCATATACTGGTACAAAACTACTTGCTAGCAGGACCTAGAGAAAAGAAAGAAGAAAGAATAGAAAACAAAAGTGAAGAAAAGACAGCAAAGTAATTCTGATCCAATATATATTTTCATACATGTGTATTAAATAATATAGCAGTAACCAATTAAGAGATTTAGTTTTTCATAAAATCACTGTCATCTCAAAATGTCTTCTTGTTGTGGCACATCAAAATGTCATTAGACTATTTAAAAATCTCAAAACAAGATATCACAAATTCATTAATATGATTCAAAAGAGTATCAACCTAGTCTTACACGATGTGAAGTAAATCTATGATGTTGCAGAAATTAAATATGCACATGCTGAAGAAAATGCCATCTAGAATATTATCAAAGAATTAGCTGACCCAATTATTCCACTGGCACATTAATATACTGTTTACTCTTCTAATAAACCAGATTTTCTAAGAATTCAAAATTTCCAAAATTGTATAAATTGCCTGAAAATTCATATATGTGTATCTTTATCAGCATCAATAGTTTGCATTTAATATATTCAAATACTATGCAGCATTTCACACAGAAGGGTTAGGTGTGTGGGATGCAGTGCAGTGTGCCAGAAACTTTCATGTAGCTAAAAGTGGAGAATATGCATGTGCTGGCATGGCAGCATGAGACAAATCTGGGAAAAAGAAGCAGGGTACAGACTGGAGTATATACTGTGAAAGATGACCAGGTGCAAAACCACCACACAATCCCTGGAGGTAATGGAAGAAAATGCCTGTGCTTTTTTTTGATGGAACTGCATTTATTTTTACAGCCATGAAGCTATTTTCAGTATTAAATACCTCTCCTCCCCTAACAAGTGTTAATTAAAACTCTATATGAAGTCTTAACTTTCACTTCAAGAACTCTTCTTGACTATTTCTTTTCCCATAGAGCTTTGCCTGAGCTCAAAGGCTCTCTTCTTATTTTCCAAAGGTGAATTTGTACCTATTTCTCTACCAGACAGAGATTTCCCCTCACAAAAGCAGAAGATCAAGTCCCCCTTGACACCATTCCTCTCCAGATTTTCAGAAGTGAAATCCTACAGGGTTCCCAACATCAACTTCTTCCCCTGTCCAACACCCTTCCTCCTCTCTTCAACTCCATCTCAGTTAACTTTGGCCCTTCTAAACTAAGAAAAATGAGGACAAAAGATGTAGTGAATTAAAAGAGTCAAAACCAGGTGAGCCCTGCAAAGTGTGAATTCAAAGTGTTCAAGAATAAGAAAGCAGTTGGCCTTCCGTATAAAGTCACATCTCAAAAGTGATGCAAGGAAGAACAAGCTTGAAGAACTAACATTTTCAGCATTTCACTGAATCACTTACCAGTGTGGACTCCTATTCACCACGCTCACCTTTTCAAACTAAATACAACAGTGATCCATGCCTTGCTCCTGCACAAACACCCAAAACATGCCTCTCTTTCCACTCATCTCCAGTTTAAGAACTGCAAGTCTAAGAACGCTGGTACATGATGATTGAAATAGCCTTCACATACGTGAAGGCAAAAGTGGCAGCTTACTAACTGCCTTTCCATGCCCACTGGGAATAGTAAAAGAAAAAAGCTTAAAATTGCAGCAACATACATTCAGTTTAGCCATTACGAAAAACCTGGGAAGCATTAGGCTTGTTAAGCATTGAAACCAATTGGATTTTGAAGTTGGAAGATTTCTGGCAGATGTTATAGAAGTTTTGCCGTTATAAAACACTGTTTGCCCAGCTGTACCTTTATCCAAGTGTTGGACACAGTATATCATGTCTAGGAAAGGCATAACAACATTAATACCATTATGTAACCTAACAAGCTCTATCCTCCCTGCTACCAGTGCAGCCACCAACACAGAGTTCGTTGTAAAAACAATACATGCATGGCTGAAGACATGCACAAAACTAAGTATTACGAGATGCACTGAAAGAACAGACAAAATAAATGTATTCCAACATCCAAATATTTGGAATTCTATTATTACTATTCCAACCAATTCCACTGCTAGCTCACAGAACAAAAGAATAGAAGAGAAATGGTTAAGTCAACAGAAGGACTACTGAAATACTAACAAAATACATGTATTTCCATGGTTGTCTTGAAGCTTCTAATTGTTTTCAGGTTAGAAGACTTCACTGCAAAAAACCATAAACCTACAGAATAATCATCTCCATGCTTGTCACTGCTGGCTACCATAACTAGAAATAACACTGCATAATTTAAGATAAGCTTTTTGCATAATTACTTTTGCATGATTAAGACCTACAAGATTTAAGAACTGCCTGACTGTGTAGAATGTAACAGGGTCAAGATTAAAAAGAAAAAAGGATACTTTAAAAGGCAAATTTCCAATGCAGCCTTGGAGATTTTGTTAAAAAGTGTGATTGTTTTTTTTTCTTTAAGTGTTAATTATAAGGAATCTCTTATTTACTTAAAGCATCCACAAGAATAGGGAAATATTCTATTTCCTCCTTTATTCTCCTGTATCTTACAACGTTCTCCACTAAGATATAATCAATAACTAGAAAGAATATTTGCTTCACATGCAACTGATTCCATCCTACCATTTCATATCAGTTTATGCATACAAGCCACATCCAAACTTAAAAAAATGTCATTCAAAGAAGAGATGGGCAGTAAGAGATATGCTTTCCAGCAACAGTTAAAATACAGTTTATATGTGGTTCTTCACTTTACGTTATACCTACTCCCCCTGCAAGGACTTGCAGAAAGTGTTGGATTTTTTTTAAAACAGGAACTTCCTTCTTTTTCTTTACTTTCTTTTGTGATTAAATACAATATAAATGGTATTAGTGAAGTAAGAAATGCAAAAAGAGTCAGCATTGTTAGTTACCCTGTTACTTTTTAAACAGACTTTGCCTACAACGTAGTATTTTAAAAACAGATGAAGGAAACAGAAAAAAACCCACATTTTATCAAAACTTGTGAAACTGCTTCCACTGTTTATGTTATGACTGTAGCACCATTGATACTATAAGTGATTACTTGAATAAAACAGTGATTTATTGTACATATAATAACATACTCTAAACCTTAAAGAATCCCAAGCATCTTTATTTAAAGCAGCAATATTCAACTTCATTACCTTAATGAGGTCCTCCCTGGAAGCAAAACTTGAAACCAAGTGATTTTCCCCATTTCTGGTGTTAGTGACTGACACATAGAGCCGGTTCTCAGCTATCTCATGAGCATTAGAAGGAAGAATAGCCTCTATACCTTCCCTAGAGTAAAGAAAAATGCTAATGTTATTTACCATCATTATTTAAAAACCTTGCAAATATATCAGGGGTGGAAAAAAAAACCACAGTACAGAAAAAAAAATATGCATACGCTCCATTTTCATTTAGACACCTTCACACAAAAAGTTATCTTATAGGTGAATTAAGATAGGTACCTAAGCGTTTTCATAAAATCATAGCCAGGCGTTACAGCACCAAAGTCCAATTTTCTAACTTCCTCTGCAAATCCATAGGCAAACTGCTTACATTTCTGCAAATTAAAATATTCACCATTAAGGACGCTTTAGTTATGTGAAATATATCCAACTGTGGTATCTAAAACATACTAGTGGCTAAAGCTTTAATCACGAAACAGCCGTAAGATCTGACTAAAATATTTTCCCATATGTGCTTAGTTTGTAACTACACATAACAAAATGCTGATCCTTCCATAAGAATTAATTAGTAAGAAAACAAATTAAAAAAAACCCCAACACACAAAAACACCCTGACAAGAATACCACTTCTTGAGTAAAAGAATAGGTAGCACCTACTTTTTAGCAAAAAGATTCTGCAACAACGAATTACGATTCTGAACGCTTAAGACTCACTATTCTGTATTCTTATTCCTTTTTTACCCTTTCATGCAGACTTCTCTAATGATTTTAGGGACTTGGGAAAAACAAACTAAATCCATTCTTATGCAACTTTCTGACATTGGTATTCAATAAATATATTATATTCTATTCCCCTTACATATTCTCATATTCTATTCTGCTTACAGAAAAAAAAATCTGTGAACAGTTTGGAGTTCCTAGCTTCCTGTATGAAGAACAACTATATTGCTAGTAACAAAAGAAAGGATTCATGTGACTGCAGAAAAGAAAAAAGAAGAGAGAAGGAGAGAAGCAGATGTGTCCTACTGAGAACAAGAGTACAGGATTTAATAGAAAAAAAACCATGAAAGAGTTGGGATGAGGATTAGTATGAGATGAGAAGCTGGCTGGAGCAGTTTAACTTCCTCACATCACTTGTATGACAGAGCACACACTTAAGCGAAAGACAGAAATGTGGCACTTTGATCCACTTTCGCTATACAGACTTCAAATAAATATATCAAAAAAGTTTAAGAGGCATATACTTCTTAAAGCAACTGTAAAGATTTGTCCTAATTAATTTCACATAGGTCAAATTTGCACTTTTTCGTTAGGAGGTACTATCATTCCCAGTTCCAATCCAATTAAAACATAAAACTAGTTACATGCACAAAGTCTTGAATCTATTCTACTTTAGGTAGCTGGGCTTCTTCCACAGTCAGTCAGCTGGGAAAAAGCATATTCAGACATCTCTCCCTTTAGAGAATAAACCCACCAACCCTACACAGAAGCACCTCAGAACTACCACCTTAATATCTGAGATGTTTTAATAAAGTGACAGTGAGCTAAGAGTAACAGGGAGCTGGATGAATCCAAACCTAGGTGAATGACAGAAAACCACTTTCCACTATTACAAGTATTAAGAATAGATCAGCTATTGCTGCCAAAAGGGACAATTTCTTACAGCTATGAATTGTTTATTATTTTAGTGCTAGAAGATTTGAACAGTATATCTGAATTTTAAATAGCAACTGAGGATGTATTTAGAAATTGTAACTACTTGTACTGAGTTAAGCAAACTTGACATCAAATATAATCAAGGTACTTTTGAAATAAATAGGTCCTTATCAATAACTCTCTAAGCCTCCCTAGAAGTCTCAAGTCCCATGCCTTTTCAACGGTGACAACATCCAAGATACGACTGAAGAACATTTGTAACCTCTCATATTAGAGCAGCAACACTCTAAACAGGAAATCCTCAGCGTTATATTCTCTTCCCAGAGGCCAGGGAAGAACTGAACTGCTGAGCGCAACAGAAGTAGAACTGACTGCAAGCTAAGTTCCTATCACAGCAGAGACAGAAAGATCAGTTGCAAAGTTGGCTGGGATCAAACACAGTGAAAGTTCTCACAAGCGAGGTCCGGAAAAAGTTACCTGATACTCACTGGACTAAAACTTAAGGGTACTTACAACAAAAATCTAACAGCCTCTTTTTCCCCCCACAGTAATATTGTTCATTAAAATTAAAGATATTAAAGAAATGTTACTATTTTGGCAAGGCCTAGTCCCCTAAATATATTAAGGAAAAGTCACTACAGGCTCTTCAGGAGGGCAAAGCAGCTTTAACCTAAGGTGAAAGTCAAAACCAGGCCAAGGCTAATGTTCTCCCACAGAACGTGTTAAAAGTAGTTATTTAGTATCAATGCTGTCTGTACAGGAAATCACATCCATGGTGAGAAAAGGGATAGCATCCCTGGAGAGAAAAACCCACATGCACATGGAAGCAGCATGTCAGAAAAGAAGACTGTGGATTAAGCCTCCCCCGTGTACAGTGGGGCTACTGCTGTCAAGTCGTGAACTGTACCAAGTCTAAAGGAGGTGCACAAGCCACCTCTTGCACTGTCTAATGAAGCACCTACAGCAAGGAAAAAATTTGAGCCAGTCTGCTGTTGTTCAACTTTATGAAGACAGAGTCTATCTACCATTCTCATCTCCTTTCACAAACGGATGGAAGGAGGGTTCTATGCACTTGATTAAAGCCTACCTCTAGTCAGAAAACAATGGTTAACTTTGTAATGTACAGGGATTAAGTGCACATACATTTTCGTGTATTAAATTATATCTGGGTGCATACAACTCATTCACATCCATTAGATTAATATACACATAGCTTAAAATATAAAAGTTCATATGACAGACTTTTTTCATAAAGAAATACTCGTTTGATAAACATTTCTACCCAGAAGTCCCAGATTTTGTTAGTGAAAACACATACACAAGAGTTCTGTTCCTTTACAAGAAGAAAAACAAAAACTAAAATATTAATAAAATCTTAATACTAGATGATTTTATCAAAAAATTTCCTTTGCAAACGATCATGTCCTAAACCTACAAGTATATTAATTTACCTCTATATTTTCTGGTACTGCTAATAAGACAGTGGCAGCCAGTGATCCTGCAGAAGCTCCCGCAAAAGCTTTCACAACTTTCAGTAACTTCTTACCATGCCTGTAAAAAGCAGCTGCTGCCCCCAAGTGGTAAATACCCAGAAACCCACAAGCTGCAAAGGACAGATTGATATGTTTCATTTTTGCTGTGGAAATAAAGTTTCACAGTCAGAAAAAGGATCAGTTAATTTTATCTTATAATATACACTTTTTTTTTTTTTGCACAGAACACATAAGTAAACTGCTTTTTGTTACATAGATACAGTATATTAAGAACAGTAAAAAATTTTGATTACCAAATAAATCAATGAAGTAGCAGTTAGTTTAGCATCTCCAAAATTGGAACCAATGCTAAAATACTCCTTAGCACAAATCCTCTTTTTAATAAAGAAATATATAACTCACACACACAAGGTAACTGCGTATTTTCATCATTTGTCAAAGAAATACAAAATAGAAGTAGCTACTGCAAAGTGATAAAAGAATACTGTTAGATAACAAGCACTGTTAGCCACCTAGAGTAAAAATCAAATTAATTATAAAACTGCTGACTACTGTGTCATCATACTCCCCTCTCGCACACTGCCTTGAACTCAATCTAATTCTGTAAGAAAGCAGAATTTTTCTTTCATCTTTGGAACCCATTTGCTTACTAGTATTATTAATAATCATTAATACACAAATTCTTAAGGTAATTTCTTATTTAGAAAACAAAACCTCACAATGTATCATTGCTACTATTAAAATAAGAAGGAATAAAAAACCCGAAGCACTAAATGTACGAAAGCACATGCACTGAAGATGTCAAGAATAGAATTTAAATCTAATAAAACACACAAACAGGAAGCATAAGCTCAGATCCTTAGAGGTGGTTTATTAAAAAGAAAATAGATTAAAACTCTCCCAAAAAAACACCCTCTGTACATTTTATTAGTTCTTCTGTTTCTGCAAATAACTGCAATTATGAGAATAAGCTATTCCATGAATGGTACTGTACAAATATAGAAGATATTGCATAGATTATCTTAGTGTTGAATTAAAATATACTAAGAGTTTATTTTGGGCATGCAGCAATATGAATGGGACTTAAAAAAAAAAATCAGTATACTCAGGACTATATACTTGAATTTTCTGATTCATATTGAGATAGCTGATGTTTCTCTTAAAAATCATCTACAGACCCTGTGGTGCCTGATCTGGAGAGAGGCAAACATATACAGCAACAGATTTTAGTTTAAGTTCCCTCTTCAGCTCAAAAACGAGAAAACCAAGAAAGATGAGGATGAGAAACAGCTTTCAAAACCACTAAACAAGAAGGCATGCTAAACCCCACTGCTTTACCCATAATATGATTAAAATCAGATGCTGAATGAGTCTAACTAGGTTTACTATTTTCCTTAATACCTAATTAAAAAAGAGAAAAGAGGGAGCAGCACAGCCACATCTGAGTGCCAGGTCATACTGCTTAGTGCATCACTCACGCTGCTACAACACTACATGATCATAGGTAGTTCAGCAGTTGCTCTTTACCCCATTTACACTGGAAATGTCTGCATATCCCCTTGTAAGTACGAATACCCGTAACTTATGTCGAACACATTTGCACCGACAGGAAGGATTCCAGGTTGGCTTTTACCGTGGCAATATGAGAAAAAGGCATTTGCGATGAAGGAAGTGATAAATCGTGTAATACTTTTTAAAAGAAAGGGACTTCTATAATTTAAAGAAAAATCTCTGTACTGCACAGAAAATTTACTCAAGATGTTACTGGAATATGACTAACAAAATTCTACTTTGAGAACTTTTTCCTTTTTTTTTTTTTTTAGTAAAGCGTGAAAAAATAGACTTTGAAGTATAATGCCATAATGTGCTTTCTTTCAGACTAGTTAAACTCTCAGTAGTTTAACTAACTGCTGCAGCCACTTCCATGCCTCCTACAAATTAGGAGCAAACATGCATTTGCATCAGGGTCCACTTTGACAAAAAGGTGAAGTTGGTTAATCTATGTGTTACTAAGTAGGAAGAAATCCAAGCATGGAAGAGTTAACTCCCCTTTTTGTCCAAAAGTGATTTCAGGCTCAAGACACCGCTAACGTGAAGCATTATATGAAATAAGGACCATGTTTGCACAGTTGATTGGTCAGAAAAAAACGAAAGTAATAGTTCATAAATCACAAGAAATACCTCTATGGGACCTATGAAACGTGCCTAAGAAACACAAGTGAAAGATAATAAGCTTGTTTAAACAAGAACAAGCACATGTGTGCTTGTGTGCATGTATATACACATCTTCTAAACCTTCTACAAGGCTCATCTACAAAGCATTCTAAAAGGTGTCTCTCTGTTGGAAAATATTTAGATGTTCACAGATCAGAAAAATGTGAAAACTAAAGAAAGTATTTAAAGCATAGTTATAGCAAGAAATTTCAGGTTAAAGGTTTTTTTAAAAAAGAAAAAAAATCCATACAAACATAGAACACAACCACACTTGAGTGTATAAAGAATTGGCTGGTACGTTTTCTATAAAGTGAAAAGAGCAGAAAAGGAGTTCATGTGAACTGAAGAGTTTACTTGAATCTCAGATCAAAACCTACTGAAAATACACTAAGGTCATATGTCCATGCCTTCTCTTACAAGAACAGTAAGTACTTCATGAAGAAGTTTTATTTTCTCATGTGAGCTTTAGTCCTATCTAATTATGCATTACTGTGAGTAACCACTGCTCTCTGGAGTGTCTGGCTACATGTCATTCACTCTTTGATAAGAGTTAGTTTCTTAACACTTAGATCCCATACTTTTCTTCCTCCTTCTTCATTCCCCTACCCGAGAGAGAGATTACTGAATGAGCATTCACAGTAGTTTCTTGGCTGATAAAAGTATTCAGCAAGAGGCAAACGTGCAAAAAGAACAGAACACTAAGATTTCAAGTAAAGGAATACCGATAAAGAATGCTGCTAGTCTCACACTGTTAAAAGTGGAAAAATTTCAAGTCCAGAAAGATTAAATTAACGCAATCCTAGAAGCAGTGAAAAATTAATCAACAATTTCTTGATCCACTGGATTTGTGGAGCATGCAATACAGCACTGTTTTACAGATTCTCCAAGAGAACTTCGTTAAGTAGCAACAGTGTGGCTGTGTTATGAAGCCAAAGTTTTTATTAATTAGGGTCCATTCCCAGGCCTACATTATGTATTTATGACATATACATGAAATTTAAAAATGCTTCAGTACAAGTGTTAGTTGGCAGATGACATTTAGGTTCAAAAAACAGAACCAGTGGTTACATCCAGCTGCATGACTGAGAAACAGATTTTGCACATAAATGTGACAAACCTACAAATGGATAAATAATGAGACAAAAAAAAAAACCCCACACACAAAAAAACCCAAACCAAAAAACCATTGATACATGGAATAATTAAGGATGTCTCTTGCCCAACCTTTTTCTGCTCATAACAGGGTCAGCTACTAGATCAAATCCGGTTGCTCAGGGCTTAGTCAGTTGTTAACTGAAAAAATCAGGTATTGTTTAGCTCCTAAATGAGAGGTAGTATCTGTTGCTGGGTGAAACAAGCAGGTCTTCTTTCATTTGTTCAGAATATTAAAGTCAGCAGAGTATTACCACAGAACATTAATATCTTCATTCAGCACTATGGATCTACCTGCAGGGAGGTTCTATACATTTAATTGAAGACCTCTTACAACAAATCTGTAACAAAGCACTTAACCTACAAAGATGACACAGACAACTAAGAATCATGGTTCTATAAGGAACTATATGCTTGACAGTCACAGCTAAGTAACGTCATTTCACCTTGCAAAGGTGATAGGAAAAGGTAAGAAAGCATTCATTAGATGGATGTCCTGTAAAATCAGAAAAGCAAGCAATAGGAAACCAAGATACTCACTTTCATAAGAACAAAGTTTCCCATTTCTTTTGATTCTTGCAAATATGTCATGGCAACACTTGATTTGCAAGTTAGAATGGTGTATTTCAGAGACAGCACGATTCAAAAATGTCTTTTGCTTTGATGACCTGGTTGATCACTGCTCTTTTGATCAAAAGGAATAGTAGGGTTATAACAACTCCCAAGAAGACATACACAGAAACTTAAGTCTACAGTATGACTATTCCCTGACAATTTCTTACAGACAACCAGAAATAGAAACAACCTCATCTAGACACAGAACATTTTTTCAGCTGCCTGAACAAACAGCAGAAATCTTGATGGAAATGGTATGAAACACTTCTTCCATAAGACTTCAGATTTGTTCTTCAGAACAAATATTCTTACAGGGTTTAACCTAAGTTTTGATTGTTAAAAATATTACCTCTTAATTCAAAGTTATCACAGTGGCAGCCATTAAGAAACAATTTCAGTGAACCTTACAAAACGCTCAAGTCCGATACGAAGTAAACAGGATAAGGCAAATGCTTTTGCCACTGTTTTTCAAAAAACATTGCTAAGATACGAAGTAAACAGGATAAGGCAAATGCTTTTGCCACTGTTTTTCAAAAAACATTGCTATCTTATAAGATTGGCAAATTTCAAAATATAAATATTTTAACTGGCTAAGAGGATAGGGTATGCTTCTGTTGTCTACAAGAAAACAAAGATAAGAAAAGGTAAGTACAAGAAGAAACTAGGACACTGGTGTGGTTCAATCTCAGATAATGCAGGAGCATTCAGGAATAAACAAAACTATGAGTTCTATTTAAAAGATTCTCATAACTGCCAAAAAAAAAAAAAACCGAAAAAAGGGAATTCACTAGTGATTAAAAATATACTGGGGGAAGTGAGGGAAGGCATTTGTTTACTTAGCAGTATGTCATCTGTTTGTAATGCCAGCATACAGGAGAATATATGTAAGGAAACAAGCCTATACAGCAGAATTATGATATAGTACTACATAGCTTTTCCAGGATAGGTACTGTCTTCCTGATTGTCATGCACAAGAAATAGCACAAGAGTTTCTCATACTTCTGCTTCCTGCGCAATATAGTTATATAAACAGTACAGGATCTCAGTGCCTTAACCAGTCATAACTACCGCCCTGTCACCCCATTTGTAAACAAAATCTGGAAATGCCCAAAGCAACTGACTAAAAAACCTTTGCAAACAAAAATTAAACATACATAGAGTGCGAATGACCAAACACCCTGAGGCACAGGAGCTAAAATGTATGATGCATAACAGCACACTTGAGGATTAGTTATTAGCTAGGAATGACAAAACAGCAAAGTTATGGAAAGAACTGTTTAGCTAGGCAACACTGCTAAAATAAAGGTTATAATTTTAACTACTAATTTACCTGAATCAGAAATCACCATTCACACAGGAATGTTTAACTGTTTTTTCACGTTTATAAAAGAAAAAAACTTTACTAGCATTAGAGACCATTCTTAGCCTTCAGTGAATACTCAAGAAACTGATTCTCCCAGTAAAAAATAAGTTCACATGAAACAATAACCCACCCTTACTTAAGAGTCAACACAGTTGCTAGAATGTTGCAAGAGAATAGGGAAACTAAGTTTTGCATCTATGAAGTCACAGAGAATAAGCACAGTAGGAGTTTGATGAAGTTGAAGAAAAAAAAGAAATTAAAATAATAATACAAAAATAATCAGCACACATCCAATCAGCCATTAAGACACTTAGGACAATTCCATGAGTCTTTGAAAACTATGAAAATAGTGTATAATACCCTTAAAATTAAAAATAAACACATCACATTATACAAAACTAAAATTAAGAGTTTAGACCTTAATCATTAGTCTAGAGAGGACATGGAAGGCCGACTTTTTAAAAAGAGGGTAGCAAAACATTCAGTACCTTCTAATGAATGGTGGCTTCCATCACATACTCCACTGGGACTTTTTCCAGCAGTTATTTTAGTTCCCTCTGCATTAGTAGCCATTCTTGTATCTACTATCGATTGTTTATTATTTACCTCGAAAACATACAAATATTACTATTTAAAAGAGATATAACAGGCAAATATAAGAACAACATTATTTATCCTTGATCAGATTCATAAAGTCAAATAAAATAGTTGTAAAACCATCTGGATTAATTTCTCAATTGCTTAGCCCTCCCTAAGCCAGTTGAAACCACAATGTTCTATTATTTATAAAGTGCATGCAGCAATTTGCATTTTTAACTTAGATATCTAGAAAAACACTGCCATTTGAAACTGCCAGTGTCCACCATTAGTCTTAATTTTCTTTTCCCACTATTTCTGTTTATAACCACAGATTTTTTATAATCACACCCTTATGTTTTTATCATCCTTTACCAATACAGCAAAAATTGACCTTTTTTGCCCCTTTTCTTGTGCAATCATGCATTAGTAAAAAGTTTTCCAGACAACTCTGGTCCTATTATTCACTAAATGGCTGTCACTCAAAATAATAAGCTTGTCATTTATCACGCAGTATTCTCTGAAGTATAATTTGAAAAACAAATGTTTCTCCCCAATTTAGAACTATCTGAAAGAAAAAGTTCATTCTGAAAGACTGGTTCTCCTGCTACGTCTTGCTGCCAGCCCCCTTACCTTGATAGGCATCTTCAAAAACAATTCACGAGTAAAGCTGTAAGATCAAAAGCTTTGTTCCGTACATCCTGCAGAAATCACTGTGTTGATGCATATCACTTATACCTACAGCACCACAAGAATACTTACCTGGAATTTAACTGTGTTATGTGGTGCTCTTAAGGTGCAATAGTTTGTAATTCCAATCCATAACTGCTGGGTTTTTGGATACATGCAACCACACCATCTGCCTTCTTTCAAATGAAGCAACAGCATTTGAGCGGTACAAAGACTTTTAGCAGTCCACATTTTCTTAGAAGTAATGTCTGGATTCAGGTGATGTGGTAATCAAAACCGATACTCTCAGAAGCTGTTCTACCATGGAGTTATAAAGGAAATATCAACAGATGAGCTGCTTGGACACCACAGAACACAGTAGAAACTTCCTCTCTTCTAGACATAACCTGCTTAAAAACATTACAGGAAAAAAAGAAAAAAATAGTTGAAAGGTAGTTGTGTACCAAGGTCCTGAGACTGTAACAAGGCCCTCTTCAAAACCCTCTCACCCTTATCTTTCATAAGGATTACAACCTAAAACACAGATGCGTTAACAGTTGATTCATTTGGCAACGAAACAGTTCCATGCAGAACTTGTGCTCAGTAGCTACTCTCTCACCAGCCTCCATCTCACACTGTGCTGTTCACCACTAACCATAAACTCAGTTGTTCATTTCAGAAACAGGAAGGACTAAAATTGTTCATAACACAAGGAACAAGTGAACAAACTGTACCATATAATTGTGTGAATACAGTGTTCCTTCTACCTCAGCTGAAAAACGTGCAAGGACTTCTCCAGCAACCTCAAACCAGATGCTCACAAAAACAAAGTGCTGATGTCAAGATCCTTGTAAGAAAAACTCAATCTTGGTGGCTGGTACAAGGCAAGCCTTATAGTCTTCTATGCTACACGGGTATCCCAAGTCTAGTATACACCTAGCAAGACTTCAGTCATAAGGAGTAACATACGGAAATGCACTTGTTCACCGGAAAAGAACAGCAGGTTACAGCCCTGCCTACCAGCACAAACCCACTCACTGTGAGACTCTGTGTTGGCCAGGTCTCAGAGGTCTAGTCAGCCTGAAGTTAAACCCCAATTCAATAAGCAAGTTTCAGGTTTTCTGCTTCACCCTTCATGCCACGAGATACGACCTATAATGCAATTTGATTGTTCCTTCCTCTGCTTTTGCTCAGTGAACAACCAATATAAACAAGGAAAACAGAACGCCCGGTGACAACTGAAGCAAACATATTACGCTCTATCTTTGCCACTTGTGACCAAAGGGAAGATTTTAAGCAGTCGCGACCCTTCCATTTTTACGATTAAACCACTCCCTCCCCCACCTTTTTCCCCTCCCGGTGCCCTAGAGAGGCCTAGGCGACGCGGCGACACCGCCCAGCCCCTCTCAGCTCCCCGGCGGGACCCGGGCAGCGGCAGAACGGCCCCACCTCCCTCGTTAACAGCCACAGAGGCAACTCTCCAGCAGGCAACAGCTGAGGCCGCCAGCGGCTCAGTCTCGTTCGGGAAGTGGCGGGGGGGAGGAAGGAGCCGGCCGGTGTCGCGGCGGGCAGCAGGCTACCCCAGCCCGGTCCCAACCCCGGGGCGCCAAGTGCCCTCCCGCGCATGCCCAACTGCACC